AGAAAGTATCACATCAGTATTAAATTCAGCCTGCCTGTAGTCAATAAAAGGGGGAAGCATGTAGCACCTGCGATAAAGATCTCACTGAACTTATACAGTTTTTAGAATGGTAGACGTACAACGTGGCGTGAAATTTGGCGCACAGGGCATCAGTTAGTTAGTTTCTGGCAGGACTTGGCTGGTTTTGCGAACAGGAACAAAGCTGTATACACCGCCAAACTCCCAATGTGGGATTACGCATAGCAGTTGAAGTTAGGCCGCAGCGGAAGGTGTGCGCTTTTGAACAGCCCGAATAATTACGAAACTCGAGTGTGGGGTCTCAGCCTTTATGGTAAACTGTAGAATTCATAAAACAAGCAGGTACTTTGTTTTGCCCGTACTATGCCTTTCACCTTTTATTTAAAGCTTGAGTATAAAAAAGCATTTAAGAGGAGTCAGAAGTATTTGCCAGAATTTGATGAGTATTATATGATGGGAAAAATGTCAATGCTATTTTAAGTAACACCCACTCAGAACACAGGAACGGCATTGTTGAAGTATGGGGGCGCCCAACAAATCAACCAGATACGAGGAAGTGAGATCACAACGCAACTCAGATTCCAATCTGACCAAGAATCTCAAGCAAAAGCCAATTGGGGACCAACCAATCACTTTTGGAACCAATAGATACTGTTTGGGAGCCATGTACGCACATGATTGGTGATGACTAGCTTGCCAAGCTCGGCAAACAGACCAAAAACCAACATCAAAGACAATTCAAAAAACCCCTAATCCTGTGGCCTCCATGGACAATAATGGAGCTTCTTCGGTGCTGGTTGCTTATTGGGATTCCTCCGGAGCTAGGGAGTCGGCATCATAGGATCCGGAGCGAGATGGCCCAAGTGGTTACAGTGCGAATTTACTGACCGGAAGGTCCGTGGTTCGAATCCGACCTCTGCCTCTCGACTTCCCCTGTCTAGGCTTGGGCAACCTGGCAGTAGCCAAGCCCTCGTGCTTCCTTCGGCTGGCATGGCAGCAAAGCACCGGAAGGGTGCTACAGCTGAACGCTTCACGTTCATTATTGAATCCTCCTTGCGAATTCCTCAGTGAATACACCGTCCCACTGTCCGATAGCTGTACGAGATTGGCGTTGTTCCACAAATCGTTTAAGGTAACGTGCTTTGCAAGACCGATAAAACGTCCTTTAGGTGAAAAATCCGATCGATAAAAGGATTACATTGACCTATAAAAGACCACAACCTCAAAAGACACAAAGACTGCCATATGTATAAGCAAACCACAATTCTAGTATTCTTCGATTTCCGAGGCGCATTCAACTCGATTGATCGGTCTGTACGTTTTGAGACGCTTGCCCACCAAAAAATGTCCCGAAAGTCTGCATTCTCAGACTTCCGGACGTGTGAGAGTGTACGGAGAGCTCTCCAAAAGCTTCCGTACG